TTCAAAGGTGACCATAGTGATATTCAGCAATGAGATATGTAGCACTTTTTCTAGGAGGAGTTCACTAACTTAATTGTCTGATCTTGTATTTCCCATAAAATCTAAGTTCCTCCACATACAGACCCTGTAACACTCATCTGGTTCCAAGGCAAACAGCTTGGCCCTCACTTATTTAGAGCCCTGTAACCATCTGGCCCAAGGAGAGCTAAATTGTCCACTATGCAGGCCTTAGTCACAGCTCAGAGGAGAGAAGTGACATTGGTGAGCCTACAGAATGTGGTCTCCTCCACTCCTGAGGCTCTACGTCTCTTCGAATCCTGTCAGGTCATGGGCAGGTTCCCTATTTTAGCTTCATTAGCCCGAGCCCTTACCAATTCAGTCCATGGTGTGAGACGTTAGCACACTGCTCCTTAAACTTGGGAAAACGCCTTTAAGAGTTACAATGACTCCTTTAAGAACCGGCTGAAAAACTGGATCTTCTTGTGGAAAAAAAATGTACAAACCCACAGATCTGAAATTCGTGTACATTTTCCCAGTCTATCCATAAACCCCTAATTTTTTCCCCAGAGACGGTTGGTAACAGTCATATGAAAAGCACATTTGCATTTGTTCTAAATATGTTCATCAGGACTTTCTATTGTACTCTCAAAAAATTGCCTTTAAGAACTTGACCCCACTCCACATCCTTGAAAACTCTGTGCCGTGAGTTTGTTTTCAAGGAAGGCGGATGATGTTTCAACTGTCTTTTCTGCTCTGGCTTCTAGGAAGCTCATTATCACATAATATTCTCAACCAAAATAATTAACACTAGTCAGTACCATTCCCTTCTGTCTCAACTTTTAAATTTTATTTTTATTTGTTAATTATGATCTTTTTTAAAATATATTTTTCCAGTTCTCCATTTCGTCTCCCCACAAAAACAAACAGAAAAAAAAATATTTTATTCTTCTAGTGTTTCTCGAAAATTTCTCTAAATATACCTGATACATGTGGAGAGGGAACTGTTGCCTGGACATGCAGAACTTGTGAAGCAGGGGATCTCCGAACAGAAACCCTCTGCTTAGTGAGTGTGACGTGCCTGAAAGAAAATTCATCCATGAAATTCAGAGTTGAAGACGCAGATAGCTCACTAAAGGACACCATACTTCCTTTTATTAGCTAGTTCAAGCTCAAAAATTAGGAGGTAGCCCCAACAGCCAAGCAGGGGGTGTCCGTGGGGGCATGTGGCCTTTACAGTCTAAAGCGAAAGGTAGGGACTAGCCCTAAACCATAATTAAAAGTTGACTCCAGTCCAACTTTATCGCCCCTGAGTGGAGCCCATCTGACTTGCACTTTCTCCTCACTCACTGAAGACCAGAGCTGGACACAGCCAGCCGTCACTCCCAGAAAAAACAAAACCCTGCCATTTGATATTTGCACTGAGAATCCCTTTGCGTATTTTGAGGATCTTCTACACAGTTCCAACAGCTCACTGGGCCACAGACCCAGCAGGGTTTTTGAGCTACATCTGCAGTATTTTTCCACGCGGGCAGCTGGCAGAAAGGGGAAAATTCATTAACATGCTAATGATGTCCTATTTAAAATTCTAGCCCTGATTATTCTGTGATTAAGTCTCTCCCCTTGATGTCTGCTTCCTTTATATCTGAGTTACAGTGCGAAATCAACAATATTAATAAAGTACAATACGGATTACCAACAAGGGATGCAAAACGTTATGTAAACCTCAGGGCTGCCTTTTTTCTGAGAAGCAGATGTAGCAAACTGCAAAAGAGTTACTGATGTTTTTTCATCCCTACTGTCCTTAAAAAAAAACATCGAAATCCACAATAATTAATCTTCCTAACTGTTGAGAGGCTGAGAGATAGATATAGCCCTTCATCCTATCTGACTGCACTTAAAATTGCTCAGAACTCAGCCGGGTTCTCCTAAAGTCTTAAGAACAGCTGACAGGGGGCAAAGCGACCCCTCCTCACCTCTTCATAGAGAGCACATGTCACCATGATGGAAGCCAACAGACCCTGGGACGGTTTCTGTCTCCCTTTGCCCGTGAGTACGCTGGCATATTTTAGTCCCTTTTCATCTCACTGCTCTGTCTGCTGACACCACAATCCGAACATCCGCCTCAGACAACTCAAGCATCTTCCCTAAAAGAATACCAAACTTGTCAGTGCTCTCATTAGACTGAGAAATTAATTTTTAAAAAGAAGATCCAAGCTCTGGGTCTGTAATTGAAAATAAAGGAAGAAAGGACTCCCGTTTCATTTTAACATCCGGCCCCAGTAACTAAACAAATACTGTTTTTAAAGACACCGTGCTGGATACCGCAGTGATACAAACGAAACAAGGACGCCACTTTGATCTCAGTGAACCTACAGTGCAGCCAGAGACAAAAGATGTCAGTGATCGTAAAGCAAGTTCATGTGTGATGAGTCAGCCCATGTCCACTTCCCGTCAGGAAGGCTGCTTCCCTTATATCTGAGTTACAGTGCAAAATCCTGACTACGAAGCTCACTTTCTGCTATCGACATAGAACCCCGTCTGGACTTGGGCAGACGCATGACTGGGTCTGCCGTCCTGGGCCAGACGTTACATCTGAGGGACGCAGAGGGACACAACAGAAGAGCCTGGGTCTCTAACCATCCTGTGGAGTTACATGACCAGCCCTGAACTGTCTTTAACCCCGAAAGACGCACTCTACAACCACTGCTGGAAATCCAACTTGGATTTTAAGAACACGACATAGTGTTCTTTTCTTAAATAGCCTTATTTTAAAACGTTTTGTCTAAGATCAAAAAGAGTAAGCTCATGGTACACACATGCAAATGCATGCTACTCTTTTGCATTCGCTCTACATTTAAACTTGAGCATAGAGCTCCCTCTGAATTTTTAACTCGCAAAACCCAACAAATGACAGCATGTGGACTTCGGCCTAGTTTTCTTACTCCAATAGAGCAAAGCTTTAACGTACTATGGAATTCATTATTTACTTATTTATGTGTCCCCCACACTCTCACCAGCCCAAGATTATTCATTTGGTTCACCAACAGCCAAGTCACCTCAGATGGGTTAAAAATTAGCTTTGGGCTAAAGCATCAGGAAAGGGTAGCTGATCCAGCAAAATCCAAGGGTGCACACAAAGAACGCACTCCCAGCAGTAATGAGCCATCTGCAGTGTAGAACCATCCACGGCAACAATCTCTCATTCCATTTGTTTATGTTTTATTCATCATTTTCAAAATGCTTAGTGAAGTGACAATGATGAGATTTTAAAACTACTGTACAGCTCTTTTCTTTAAAAGAGATAGTGATGGTTTTCAAGAGCTCAACTGTTCAAATGAAAATGTTGCTTTCCTAAATTTGTCCAAATTTGTTCGCATCTTCTTTATTCTTAGATACGGTAGAGTCCCAATTTGGGGCCAAAAATTGTGTGTTGATCATATGAGAAATTTCACAATATTTATTGTTTATACATTTTTAAAATCTGTAGCAAAAATTCACTTAAAATATACAACGCCCATTTCTATCATGAGTTAACAACCCACAGTGTCCCATTTTGGAGCAGCGTGCTGTCACCCTCAGTACTACAGTTCTATGTTAAGGTTCAAATGTACATATCTGGCAAAAACAAGGCTTGGGAAAAAAGTGGAAAAGTGAATAAAAAAGCGGCTCTCAGTTGTTTAGTCACCTTAGGGGTGTCCATTGCCAAGAAGGCCTGATAACATCTGAACATCCCATCTACGATTCAAATAACTCTGTGAAGAAACCTCTCTCTGCACAATTTAGTAAGCCTTTAAAACAGAATTCATTCACAGTGAAATGAGATGCCTAATTTCTGCTAGCTGATTGCATATTTCTTTATTTGGTTTTAAGCACTAACCTTGATTTACTTTAATTTGTGGAGTGTTTTCAAATAGTCCTACTTCAATTGTAGCTACCTAATAACCTCCCATTTTTTTCTTATTTCTTTTTAAATAAGCATATTTTGTAAATATAGTCCTAGTAAACAACATTTATGTAGGGACCATATGTTATGTATGACCTCTGCCCTCCAGCAACTTCTAGGTCCTAGGGGAAATGCAATAGCATGCATGCACACACACGCATGCATGTACACACATATGTGCATGCACACGCACATGCACACATGCATACACGTGCACACATCTTGGGATCTTTATAAGTGACCTCATTTGGTGTGTATCACTTAATCAGCCTATGAGATGGCTACTATTCTCATTTTACTACTGGTATAGAAATAGGTTCTAGCATCTAATATATCTTAAATCTGAATTTGCTTCTTATGACTTCATTCTGCATATTAGAAACTGAATCATCATAAACTTTCCATTTTTTTTTAAGAAATAAGTTTTCACTTTATCAATCAGGACTGAGCTGGCGTCTTCTGAGACTGTCCCTCAGGGAGCAAACCTCAAGGTGACCTTCATTACTCATCACAACGGGAAAAGAACATAAGCATGCTTTAACTCCTCCCACACATAGCTCTCTGGCTAAGGCAGCCCTGGCCCCTTCTGTTTCCTTCCTCCTGGGGAAAGGAGCTCTCAGAAAAGCTCCCACACAGATCAGCCACTTCCAGGTCTTTCCTCCGCTTTTTCAGAGTCAGCCTGCTTTCATCTGTGATTGTGCAAACCAGAAGACGGAGCCAAGGAGAGAAAGGAAGAGAATTGTCACAGAGGAAATTCTCAAGACCTGTGCCAAGGGGGAGATTGCTCTAAATGATCACATGCCATTAGCAAATCCAGAGGGAGGAGGGGGGAGAAGAGAGAAAAAGAAAAGATGTCACATGTGATCACAAAACAAAAGCTGACAAGTCATTCTACCCCATTGGCCAAGGCTCCTGCCAAAAAAATCCTGCAGGAAAAGGGTTGTGTGGTCCAGGTCGCCCTCACAGTGAGTTCACAGAGGCACAGACCATCCTGCCCGGCCACACTGCACAATAAGTATCGTAAATATTTCCCCAGGCCACTGTGGTGACTTCCTACCATAGGCCGCTCTCCCGTGGTCCAGTTCCCTCCTCAGCTGGTTGTAATCTTCGTTAACACTTCTCAGCTTTTTGACATTCCTGGAACTCAGCGCCACCAGCTTGTTCAGGAGTCCCTCCAGCCCTTCGCGCTCGGATGTTAAGGATCTGATCTCTTCTGTGAGCTCCTTGGCCGTACAGAAATGGTTTCCTGCAGCACATTGTGGGAGAGGGGGGAAAGCAGCTTTAGTGGCAGCTAACGAGCACAGGCAGTGTGGGCCAAGGGGCTGAACTCTGCAGCTACGTCTACCTGCGTTCACGGTCATCTACGGAGGGAGGTGGAAAAACACCAGCTGTACTTAAGCTGGAAAAACCACCAGTCTTTGTGTCACCTTACTCTCGTTCTGTTTTAAGGGTTCCATTGGCCAATTCATGTCCTTGTGAAACCTGATGACACAAAAATGTCCTAGTGAAACCCAGGGAAGCCACATGGTATTGGCACATTCAAATATCTAAATGTCACAGAGGTGAAATATTGTCGCAAGGTGAAAGGGGATGGGCCTGGGAGTCAGACGAGACCTAAATTCAAATGCTAATCCCCCCATTCCTCAAACCCCATATTTTTGAGCAAAGAAAATTGTTGTACATAATTTCAGGGCCCACCTCTTATAAAACATGAGGGTGCTAAGGCCTGTATCACAAGTGCTTCAAGAATAAACAGGAAATTCCATAAGCACTGAGAAAAATGTATATCACAGTGCACTTAGCAAAGTCGCAGAATACAAAGTCAACACACAAAAATCAAGTGTATTCTAATATCAGCTTCAAACAAATGGAAGAGGAATTTTTGTTAAATACTATGTACAAGATATTTTAAAACTCAAAACAGAGATAAATTTAAAGAAGCATGTGCAAGACACAGAAAACCATTTTTAAAACTTCAGAGAGAAATTTAAGAAGACTTAAATAATTACAAAACCATGCTATATATTCATCATACATTGGAAAACTGCATATGTTTAAGATTTCCATTTTCTCAAATTGATCTATTGATTGGCTCCAATTCCAATCAAAGTCTGATGCGGGTCATTTATAGAAACTGACAAGCTTATTCTAAACTGTAAAAGAAAATGCAAAGGGCTAGATAAACCAAAACATCCTTAAAAGGTCGAACAAAGATAGAGGACATACACAATTTGATTTCAAACTAATGCTGAAGCTATAGTTAAGTCCAGACAGGATGGCACTGGCACAAAGACAGACAGACTGACCAATGGAATGGAGCAGACAGACCGGAAGCAGATCACACTCACACAGTCAGCTGATTCTCAACAAAGGGCCAAAGCAAGTCAGTGAGGAAAAGAGTATTTTTAACAAATGCTACTGCAACAACGAGCTACCTGAATGCAGAAAACACTATTCTTAATCCACACCTCAAACCATACCCAAAATTTCATTTGACATGGATCACAGACCTAAATGTAGAAGCAAAAACCATAAAGATTCTAAAAGAAAACATAGGAGAATATCTTTCTGACTTGGGAGTAGGCAAAAACTTTAGATAGGACACAGAAAACACTAATTAAAAAAAAATAGATAAATGGTCTTCATCAAAATGAAAAACCTGTACTCATCAAAAAATAGCATTAAGAAAATGAATAGACAAGCCACAGACTGGGAGAAAATATCTGCCATACATATTGGGTTGTTGGAAAAGTCATGACGTATTTTTTCTATGTTTTTCGTTGCAAAAATGTGTCATGACTCTTCCGACAACCCAATAAATCGGACAAATGACTTGAATCCTACAACTCAGTAATTAAAATACCAATGACCCTACTGGAAAATGGGCAAATGATGTAATAGGCACTTTACCAAGTAAGATACACAAATGGCCAATAAGCATATGACACAGTGCTGGTGATCAGCAGTCACCAGAAAAATGCAAATGAAAGCCGTGGAGAGTCCACTACAAAACCACTCAAATGGCTCGAATTCACCAGACTGAAACTCTCTGGTTGCAAAGATGAGGCGGGCCCAGAGCGCTCAGACACAGAAGGCATGTAAAGTGAGGCACCCACTAGAGAAAAACTCTGCCAAATTCCCACGAAGTTAAACATAGGCTTATCCTTTGATCTAACAATTCGACTTCTAGGCATTTACCCAAGACAAATGAAAACAGGTAATGAAAACATGCACTCGAGTATTCATAGTGGGTTCCCCAGGACAGCCCCGAACTGGAAACGACCTAAATCTCCTTCAAAAGGAGAACACGCGAATAGTGGCATCACTACAAAATGGACGACTACTCAGCAAGGACAAGGCACAAACTCCAGGCGTGCGGGGACGAGGAAGTATCTCAAAGAAAAGACACAAAGGGTCCACGCCACGTGATTCCCATAAGTTCTCAAACAGGCAAAACGAATCCATGGGAAAAGGTATCCGAACAGAGCTGTCTGGGGAAGGGAGTGAGGACTGGGAGGAGCACAAGCTGACGTTTCTGGGGTGATGAGAACATCATGACAGGGTTGCTGATAACACAGGTGTCAAAAATTCATAGACCTGGACACTTAAGATCTGTGCATTTCATTGAACGTAAATCAAACCTCAATGAAAAAGGAAAAACATAGCAGGGAAATGTTAAATATAAAAATTATACCATAAATTAGTAAATATATCACATTAATGGGTGCTCCATAAATAATAGCGTTATTAAAGAGCTCCATTATGTTTCTTAGGATTTTTGTATAATCATAATCCCAATAATAGCTACAAACTTTCTCTCCTTTAAACCTCACCACAACCCTGGGCAGGAGGTAATGCTTTATATTATCTATCCTAAGATGCCTTTTTTACATGTTAACATCCCTGACATGGGATGTCTTACAATCACTGTCAGGCATGGGGTAACCGGGTGAAGTTTGTTATGTGATTGTTATTCTCCAAGGCCTGGCTGACTATCTGCAAACCGCTGGTGTACAAACCTTTCCAGGGCCCTTGGAGTCCTAGCTGTTGCTTGAAAACCTCCTGTTGATATGGATTTGTAAGATCAGGAAAGCACCAGCATTTAAAACTTGAAGAACAATGTTAGGGGCTTGGCAGAAAATCCCACAGAAAACAGTAGTTCATTCTTAGAGGGGAAAAAAAAAGTGGCATCACCCATAGCTTCACTTTACAGAGGACAACAACCTGTGGAAAAACGCAAGTCTCGACTACTAGGGAGTCGAAATGTGTTTCAGAAGTCACACTCTTAATATGAAGATGTTTTAGGAAAACTTTAACCCATTCATTTTCCTTTTTATAAAGTGATATGTGATTTTTCAAAAGCCAAAATACATCTAAAAGAGCCATTTCAATAAGCATAAAATAATTCTAAGCCACAGAAAGCATCATATCATTGTTAAATGGCCAGCAATTTTTCCTTCTTAGTAGTATATAAATAATGTGGTGCATTTTATGTTCACTGAAATACATGTTGCTATCTCTGCAGTGGAAAAAACTGAAATGTAGAGAACTGGATACATTGCTGAAGGTTTCACGCTAATAAAATGCAGGGCAAGTTCCAACTCAAACTGAACTCCAGAATCCCTCCTCTTACATATTAAACTGTGCTGTTTACTTCTTCATTATTGTTATTTAACAGGCAGATTTCAATCTGACATACGTATTGAAAAGGTTACAAAGGTTTTCCCACTTGTAAGGCATTCCGACACCAAGCACACATCATTTCTGCCACTGACATCATAGTTTCCCGTTCCACGATTAGAGAAATATCTTTTGAGACTCTATTTATCATCTATCGTTGTAGAGGGAAAATACGGAAAAGAATAAGCCCTGCTCTCCAGGAGATCCATCAAATAAAGGGGATAACAGGGCCGGCCGAGTGGCTCAGTTGGTTAAGAGCTCGCTCAAGAGTTTGAGCTCTGAGCAACAGCGGTTCGAGTCCAGCCCGAGCTGAGCAGCCGCTGAGCTGCCAACAGGTAGCAGGATGGCTCAGCTAAAAAAAAATAAAAATAAAAAATAAAAAATAAAGGGGATAAGATGTACTGCAAGAAATAGGCAAACGCACTAGGAGATCTCAGAGAAGAGATTGTTCCAGAAGGGGAGACGGAGGCAGCTTCCATGAGGACAGATGTAGGGTTTACAGCAGAGAAACGGGAAAGCTGGTTAGAGAGCAAAGGGTGGTGTCTTCAGCAGGTGGGAGGAAGTGAGTAACTGACACCGAGGGTGGGTCCCAGTGGCAGAGGGCCCCAAATGCCAAGCTAGTGGGTTTGGACCCATTTAGGAAAAACAAAGTCCTGACAAGAACAGGCGCCTGGACTTCCACAAGCTTTGAGCTGTAAATAGAAACACAACTGAACCGTTCCCTGCATCTGTGATTTCTATCCCGAACAACGAGCGAGTTAGGGCTGCCATGGGTGAAGCCCCTGGTGAGTGACGCGCTCACTTCACTCACTCGGGGAGCAGTGGCAGGACCAGCCCCAGAGGTGTGCCTGCCTCCAGGCAGAGCACCCACCAGCGTAAGGTCCTGCCTTCAAATGTCCCCTCTCAGCCAACACTTAGGAAGCCTTTCTGTTGGACCCCGTTTTCAAGCAAGAGATTTAACAAGAGTGGGCTGGGCACCGACTGTGCCCCCAGAGACACCAGGCAAAATCCAGCACCATGTGCAATCTCCCCCTGAGAACAGTGCAGAGAGAAAAGACCACTAAGAACACATTGGAGACAACCGCACAGACAGAGCGAGTGCCTGTACAGAAGGTTTGTTGGAAACACATCCTCAGACCATAGTGAACGCTAGAGACCAGGCCATTAATAGAACATGGCAGAGCTCATGAATTAAATCCTGGGTCCCCGCCTGGATCCTGAGGAATATGGCTTGGGAAAATGCACAGGGATAGACGTGCAAGTGTTACATAGGCAGAGTAAGTGTGAATTCCCAAAGAGATGGTTAATATTGAAACGCAAGCCATGAGAAAGTGCTCCCCTGCACTTGGTGAATATTTCATAAGTATCTTGGCCTCCGATCCAAGCTCGTGAGGTAAACCGCTCTGACTGCTGACACTGGCTGAGATCGGTAATGAAAACTCAGAACAGTGTAAAGGCTGATCCCTGAATGGAGTCCCTCAGAGACCTGGTGACCCCATCTCTGTAACTCTAATGGGCCCTCTCCTATTGCCACAGGAGGGTTTGGGTGGAGGTGACTGTCCCACC